TGTTCGTCCCGTGTCCAAATTCGCAATCTAGGGACATTCCATATTTAGTAAGTTTCGAGCTTGTCCCAGAGACTAACTCCTGATACTAAGGGAGGCTTACGGTGAAAGCCCAAAGCGTGTGTTCCTCAAGGGGGGGGGGGGGCTGTGGGGGGTTCCAAATGTATAGTAGGGATAGTGGGTAGGTCGGGCATGGCCGACTAACCTGAGGCATAGTCTAGCTCCCGCTTGCGTGCCTGTCCTTGTTCTGCGTCCGGCTTGGGTCTAAGCCCAAGTTCCATTCCATGCTAGTTGGTGGAGTACCCATATCCTCACGTTAGGCCACCGGTATGCCGAAATAGCGCCAGACTCCGTTTAGCTCCGTTTTGTGTGCTGGTCCTGGCATTGGGATGCTGGTTGCTCCAGGACTGTTCCAAGTCGCTTCGGGCTCCTGTCCCTTCGCTCCTTGGGCTTTATGCTCGGGAGTTGCTCCGTGGTCCGATTCCATCACTCCTTGGCTCCATGCTTGGGAGTTTGGCACCGTTCCTTCGTTCAGTGGCCCAAGGCCTTGAACTTCGGGTTCCTATGGACACGTGGCATGGACACGTGGCATGTGACATGTGGCATCTGTCACGTGGCACAAAGAGGGTTTAGGTTCCGCTTCGTGGTGTTATCCTATGGTAAATCACCATAGGATAAAGGGTCAAAACCACGTGCGCTACACCAGCTCCTAAAATAGACAAGAGTTATACACCAATAAAACTTCCCTACACTCTTGAAGCAAACAAGAGTGTGAAAATTGGGAAACTCAAGCTAGATACAATGAAAATGGGTAAGACATGACTCATTGGAAAGCTCCTAATGTACCCTAGCTCTTGGATAAAAAAAAATCTCTAAACATTCAAACAAAAGAAAGGTGACAAAGCTCCAAACTCCTTGTAGACAGTGCAAGAAGCAAATGACATTAGATTTCTTGACACACAACACCAAAATTTAACAGAACTCTTTAGAAAAATATTTATCTAATATAACTCTCAAATAAGACAAATCTCAAAAAAAAAACAGAAAAGAGGCCAAAAAGCTCCAAACTCCTCATAGATAACACAAGAAGAGAAATGATGTTCTTTATTAGCACATTCAACGTTGTTGTGAGTATGTCAACAGTTAAAGGCAATTGGTGACATATGCCAGTTGCGTGTTTAATAAATGAAATGAAATAGCTTATCTAGTGTGAATTTAAACTTAGGGCAAGAAGTAGATGAGAGTGAATGGGATAAGGCACAAATTTAAAAGAAATGCAAATCTTTTTCAAAGATTCTAAGCATATGGAAGTAAAGGAGACTTAAACTCCAAAAGGGGTGTTCTTACACAGGAAAAAATAACAAATCTAAGACTATTATGATCCTGAGCTCCTTGGGTCATAGGGATTTTCTAGACAACTGTGAAAAAAGGAAAGTTGTGCCAACATTAATCTGGAAAACCAGCAATGAAACCTAGACCAATGCATAGGCTGTGGTGAGTGCTCAAACAGCCTCCCATACTTTCCATTGTGTCTTGACCACCCCCACCACTGCAGAAGCACAAGTGAGATCGGTTTGCCAATCAAGAACATGAGTCAATCACACTCTCTTGGAACATGAATGCACAGAACAAGCAAGAAGAGAGGCTCTCAAGTTTCTAGGCAAGATAGAGGCTGAAGGAGGCACTCTGTAGCGAACAATGCAAGCTATGCTGTTGCTTTCAAGACTTGGTTAGTCTTGGCAGTTCAAGAAGAAGGCAAGGAGCGCGATGGGAAGTTTGCCAAAGTTTTGGCTCTTAATGCTTGAGCTGTGAGAGGTGGATGGAATTTCCAAGCTATGGCTTTGAGAACTTACCTTGAGTTTATTCTCTCTTGTGGACAGGGACTGTAGCCGAACTCTTTGATGGTTCTGGCCATTCTCTAACTCCACTGCTCAATGGCATTTGCAAATCCAAATAAACACATGTCAAATTCATATATTACCTTGCTGGAGCCAATGAACACCAAAGCTATGGTGCTCTCCCATTGGCCAAAACTAACATCACGGGATCCAACAGCCAGCAAGCCTCCCCTATTGTACATGATCACAACCGTTGGATTAGATTCATATTCAAACAAACGTTCTAATACGAATATACTATGAATGAAATCTGATTGAGTTATAAAAGACTCTGCAACTTCGCAAAATGGCACAAGCGTGAACCTCATGGCAATGCACGATCCAAGCAGTAAGGCTCGATCCTCAAGAAATTCAACTCCATTCAGTTTCTTGTGATTGATCATAGCTTGTGCGGATGATCCCTCAAATTCTTCCACAAGTTAAATGCATCTGGGTTGTGCTCGTCGGCGGCCCAATTCACCATCTCCAATGCCGAGTTTACAATGCTTCTGGTCGTGGGCGCTACCAGTCAGGTAGCTCATCCAGAAGCTCCAGCTGCGAGGATACAAAGTTAAGGTAAACCTCCTCTCAGCATTTGCCTGTAATGGGCAAATGTTTGAGGCATTCTATTTTTGTGAAGGCTTAAGTACGGAATGATGATTCCGAGACTTTGGACCACTCAATCCTTGACACTCAACTGCATAAGACGCCATCGTGTCTTGGAACCACATAGTTGAAGTTCCAAGTTCATCAAAAAAGAATGTCGCTAGCCCGATTTGAGATGTTGAAAGCAGCAGTCGAAGGTCACAACAAGAACAAGATTATCTGCTGGATCATATTTCCTGCTGGTTTACAACAAGGGCAAAATCTATCAACAGCATTCTAGGCAGCGGCTGATTCCAGTATATAGTCTTTGAGTATGGTTTGGTTTCTAAGATTGAATACAATGTTGTTGACGCTGGTAATCGCAGCAGAGAGTTCTGGGATCTAGTGTGGGACCGTCAGTTTCGCGAGTGGCTCTGGTGTTGAAGCAGCAGCTTCAGTAGGATGTAGTAGTTCGCCAGCTGGCAAAGCGACGCTGGTATTCATTGTAACTTCGCCAGGATCATCACCATCAACACCGACTTCTGGAGAATCCACACTAGCATCGTCGTTGTCTGGATCATCTACTCCAACACCATCATCCGCTTCGACTGGATCAAGCATGCCAGGCCAAACTTTGAGCTCGTCCCCTCATACTGGATCAAGCTCAGCTCTACCTGGCACTGGAACTTATGGCACGAGCTACTTGGGTGGAGACGTCGGCTCACCTATGAATGGTTAGGGACTCAGATTTCATTCGTTTGTCACTCAATGAGCACCTGTTGCATATTTGTATTAAGGGTCTTTTGTCTTAGAGGTTTTGATGTTTATTTAATCCAACGAATAGGACAGACTGTGATCAACGGTTGTGGTTAAGTACATAATTTCATCGCCCTTAACAGGATACCTAGATTATTTTCATCTCTCATAAAGAGAAAAATGAGAGGCGTGCTGGTTAAGGACATTCACCGTCTCAAAGACTTCATGGCCTTCTTGCGACAGCAGCATCTGCTCTGCCCACACAGCTGCGATCCCTCGGCACTCACCAAGTTTGACTATTTCGAAAACCACATGCTGATCCAAGCGCGCTACAAGTGCACAGTGTGCAAACAGCACTTCACCCTGGGTGGAACAACACGAGCGAAACGAGCCAAGAAGGAAGATGGCGGTCGTCCAAGAAAGAAACCCAAGAAGGAGCAGCAGCAGCAGAAGTCAAGGGGGCAGTGTCTTCCTTGCGCGATAGAGGTGGGTCAATGCCCTAGTCAGCGCCGGGATCAATCGTTGCCAGTCAACGCCTGTGACCTCGAGGGATACGTGCAAGGCGAGGAGATTTCCAGGAGGTTCAGAAATTGAAAATGGATTTGGAGGACAAGGGCCCTTCCGTGGAGGATGAGGAGAACTTTCTCAGGGATTTCAAAGTTGATGACGGTGATGATCTAGATTTACTACTGGGTCTTGAGGAGTTCATCGACCCACAGAGCCAAGGCACTCGATCTGATTTGGGTGAGGAGCAAAACGATTTTGTCATGGAGCTGGAGCAGCAAATGGAGGAAGAATTTCCAGTAGACGAGGAGAATAATTTCGTCATGGAGTTGGAGCGGGAAATTGAGGAAGTATCTGCGATGGTAAAGGAGTAAACAATGGTCGTTTAGAGGGATGATCCGGAGTCGAGACAATTTCATGTTCACCACAAATCACATTTTAGAAGTGCCCAAACTCGCGTATGCTGATCAATCAGCAAAAATGGACGATAAAAGAACATCCTTGTAAGAAGCAACTCCTAAAGAGAAAAAAGAAAAAAACATCATTCTCATGGACAGCATTGTTTTACAATATACTTTATTACTTTTGCATCACTTCCATAAAGGTTTGAATAAACCATAGATTAATTTCAGTTTAAGCCAGACAAAAAGGTCGATCACTTATCAAAAAGCTTGGGAGCGCTGATTATGTAGACTCGAATCCAATCCCTTTGCACACAATGGTCCCGTTGTTCTTGTTCAGGAGAGCACAGTTCGTGTACTTGATCGTGCAGCAATTATCGCAGCGACCGACAATCACCATGCCGCCACACTTGACAAGAGTGTCCGTTAAGGAAAACAGGGGGCACCGGCTGCCTCGACCCTTGCAAGCCACGCTTACGTTCCTGTAGTGCAGCGAGCAGTCGCTGTGCAGCAGTTCTGGCACTGATCATAGCTGACGAACGTCGGGCAATCGAGATAAATCCCGGCGAAACACTCCTTTGGTGCAAGCAACGGTTTGCACAACTGCAAATCCACAAGTCTAAGTGCGAGAGAGAAAGAACCAAGCAAACTTCCAAATGCCTGTCCTGTGATAAAAAAGGAAGTTTTAAATTAGCGGATGCTGTAAATACAAAAGATAATTTGTACCTGAGATTAGAAGCAAGAGGCCAAATCCTACTGGGGTCTTCATACTGTGTCGATGCGAGCAGCGCTTTCTTCCGCTGGAACGGCCTTTCCAGCTTGGATTCCTTGAGCAAATTTGCCAAAGCGTCTCCAAGAAATTATTTCCCATCTGTCATCTCAAATTTCAGATAATTTAAGAGGTTGGTGTTACCAAATTCGTACAGTTCTTGCTCAACTGAAACACCAAGGCAGCAAGGCATAATGCGGTGTAGTTTAAAAGAGATATAAAATGCGAAATGTTAGGTAAAGTCCTCTTCGTCATCACTCCCCTGAAGTGCCTGCACAACAATAATCATCGAACAACGATCAACGAAAATGCAGCATACCTGGCGAATTGCACTAGCTTTCTCCAGGATCGTCGCGATGTTGATGCTGGACGTTGCTGGGCAAGGAGTCTCAGTTTTCTCCTTCTCCTGCTGGGCAGCGTGCTTTAGATTGAAAGACTGGAACAAAACAAGCTCACTGTCACAATTCTTTCACTCATGCTATGAATTCCTACCCTCGAGCGTATTTGCTCCAGTAAGACCTCACGACTGCCAAACGATTTCGCCCGAGGATCACTGGTCACCTTTCTCAGCTGAAAAATAAGTTTGCAATTTTCAGAAGTTCAAAAGTAAAAAACACTTGCCATATCCTTTTGGTGGTATAACTCACTTTTAGAAAGAGATATAGGATATATTCTTGGTATGAGTTTACCTTTTTGTTAGTGTAATTTCCATTAATGAGAAGATTTATTATATGTGTAGTATAACAGAATTTGAGTATTGCTTTAAATTAATATTTTGCATGTTTCAATTGAACTGTTTATTGTTCTATTTTGAGTGGCTCTTTCTACTGCTTTTTGTTCATGGAAAAACACATTATGAAAACTATGTAAATAAACTACATGATAAATCATTAACTATTATATAAAACTTAAATATATGGCATAGGACTTCAGAAGTAGAAATATATCAAGTATTGATAAAGTTTGATTTTGTCCTAATTTAAATTACTTTGCTCTTTAGATGTAGTTGGGAATTCTAGTGTTGCATAATTATATTCTTTATATATATATATATATATATAGACATAGATATTTAATAATTTTTATGGAATATTAAATATTTATGATGATATGTGCTTTATTTCTTGCAAATGTATTTATTATAAAGAACAACCCATCTATTGTCAATGGTGTAACCATTTTTTATAAAAGTGCATCCATTGTTAGATTAGTAGTAATCAAGATAACCATCAATACAATAAATAGATAATCCTTATAGAGTATTTGTTATTTTCTATGCAAGGGCTTCTGGGATTTAAATTAGCATATGGGCCATATATCATATGATTTATAATTATATTATGCAATTATAGTTCTAGTAATGGATGTGGCAATTATGTGATGATAAATTTATCAATTGAGTCATGATTTTTACTTTGTCTTTTCTTGATAACATTACTAAAAAATAGCAATAAATCAAACCTCTTTTCTAGAATTCAGTAATATAAATATATACAATGCACTTCCCCCAAATTCCTTTGATACTTATGTCATATAAAAATTCCTTAAGTTTTAAGATTAACTCAATCCTTAAGTGATTCATTTAGTTATGAGTTTTGCATAATTTCATACCACTTTAGGTTGCATGTAAATGTAATAAATAAGTTAGGTTTTCCAAAATGTATGACAATAGTAATAATATGTTAATATGTTGCATTGCTTATAGGCTTTCAGGAAATGTAAAATGCAAAATGATATTTTTTTCTAGTTTCACCATTATTAAAAGAAGCTTTATTGCTAATATAGTCCATAAGACCTATATAGTAATCCAATTTTAGGTATTTTTTATGAGTGGGAAAGAAATAAAAGTTGTTAGATTGAACCTTTACATAAATATAAATATTAAATTGTTAAGTGAGCTTTCTAACATAGTATGTAGGATTTAATCACAAAGCAAAGAGTTACCAATGCTATCTTGTTGAGATAATTGATATGTATAGCATTGAAGGTAAAAGATATCACAATTTTCATTAAGAGTAGAAATTTTAATCAACTTTGAACTATATAAATGTATGCATATTTCTTTGTCAAGAAACAGCTAACCTTCATTAATAGCAAAAACAACAATAACATCATTACTCCGTAACAAGTTATAACAATGTAGGTTAGTACATTTACTTCTAACAACAATATAAATACTATATTTTGGAGTTTTATTGCTAATTGAGTGATGTTTTATTTGTGATTCGAGATCATACATCATTTGGAAAGCTTATGCATATGGATTTATCATTCTTAGCAAGTGATCTAATTGTAATAACAAATTAAAATGGATTTTACTTTCTAATATTTATAACTTCAGATGTGTCAAACATGTAAAATTGTCCATATAATAGTGGTATATTGGTAGTAGGATTTGACTATGTATTCTAAAGCAATATAAAACTTTACCACTTAAATTATCAACATTAACACCCATTGATGCAAAAGCTAAAGCACTATTGAAATTTCTTATATTCATTTTAAATTTGGAGTTGTGAAGTCCAAGTGTACAGCTACAATACCGTATACTAATGTTAGCGTAGTGGGATTTTGGTAGCTATCAAATTGGTTTCAATTTAGACCACTCGCTCCTATAAAGTTTTTGGGCTAATTAATATATTTTCTTTCCATATTCCATGCACTCACATTAGTGGAGGTGAAAGGTTATCCTTGAAGAGTGTTGAGATTTGGGATTTTTGGTTTAAATCTAGCTTTTGCATTGTTTAAATCTCCCTTTTTTTCTAACTTTTCTCAACTTCTTCTCTTTTGCTTATTTCTTTTCATTCATCTTCATAGCAAAGCAATAGCTTCTTCCTCCTTTGACTCTATAGTAGTAGTTGACGCAATTGCTTGATGCTATATGGCTATAGCTAAACAATCAGACTTAGTTGATGGCCGCATTCATAGTGCATGGTATAACTCCTCATGCTCTTGTTGCCAATCTTTGTGTTTGGCCAGAGTTTTTTCGCAGAAATCTTAAAGATGATGTGTACCATTGGTTTGATCATTTCACAGTGATTGCCTTATATTGTTCTTAGAATGATACTCAATGTTCGTGTGAGTTTCCCACGTGTCTCCAAGGGATTGTGCTGCAATGGTCAATGGTTTGAGCACAGCCACTCATGAGGATTAGAGTATTCTTTTGAATGTCTTTAAATGCATAGTTGGACATTTAATGATTGTGATAATGCCCTCCAACAATTGTATCATTTTCATCAAAGGTCATTTAAGTTGGTGATGCAATTTGAAATTTGTTTTTGAAGCCTCATGCTTCATGTAAAGCCAAATATATTAGAGCGGATCAAGTTGGGAATGTTGTGGCAAACACTTCGTCAAGATCTTACAGGACTTGTGCATGCACTTGCTTCAGCCACCCTTGATAATGCCCTTCGTTTAGCATAACATTATGAGACATCACTTTTTCCACTTTTCGATACACACCCTTTAACTCCACTTCCTATGGGAGATGGTCCTATTTTAATGGATGTTGATGCTACTATTGCTTGAGTTCAAGGACAAGGGCAAAGACACAGTCATGGCTGTGATGTCTATTGCTAGGCGTGTGATAAAGTTCATCACACTTATCAACATTATTGGCATTTTCCAGATTGGTGACTTCCATTTCTTTAGTAGAGACTTTGGCATCAACAAGGTCCTGTTAGTGTTGCTACAATGGATACCGAGATGCATTTGGGAAATAAGGAGTTATGCAAGAAGTGGAAGGACCTTACGTAAATAAATCAATAATCCCTCCATCTTTCTTTTAAAAGTATCATCAAGGGTTTCATTTAGCACTAGTTCATCTACTGTTTACTTTTCAAATTTGTTTTTATAATAAAAAGTCTTCTATTATTCTCTCTATGTTGGTTCAAGTTTATCTTCTATTGCTCAATTTGTTACAACACATTACTATTTACATTTGCGTCATATGGCAGAGTTAATTTTCATTCTTTATAGCAACAGCCGTACACACACATATGCATGGGATGAGTGGGTGATCTTGAGCTTGAGTTGTAGTCATTACGGGTGGTGTTGAGTCAAGCTTTTGACCTTATCCTTAGTATAAATTGATTGTGGTGCAATTATGCCAAATGTGACTTTAATGCTTCTCCCGTTTATCTCATACTTCTTTATATTTCTTTCATTCCTTTCACTTTTGTATATTTTTATCTCTCTACTTCTACCTTTGCTTTTACCTCTACTTCTATCACTTTTATCTCCCTATTAATTCCCTTTATGTTTCTATTTTATTCCTCTCTTCCCTTTTCCAATCCTTCTGATGTCTTTGTATTGCAATGGTTTATTGGCTTATGAAGGAGTATACCAATCCTTTTAAATTTGACCTATTGTTTAGGGCTAAAATTGCCACATGTCATCCTATTCCAACTGAGGATACTTGTCCAATCAAGGTTTTGGTTAGTTATCAGTCACACAAAGAGATTAAGATTTTACATGTAAATGTCAAGAAAATGTTGGAAAAGGGTGTTATTCGAAAGTTGTGGAGTCCTTAAGTGTGTGAAATTCATCTTTGTGAGACAAAAATCCCTAAGCCCCAAAGTGGCACGAAAAAGGTGCCACATAGTAGTGGCCAAAGTAGAAGCCCAATAAGCATAATACATTTGGACTAAAAAGCTCTGACTCAAAAAGTCGACAGTGGGAGTGGAACTCCCAACGAAGGACCTGAGATGGGGTTTGAAATGGAGTCCGAGATGGACCTAAGATAGAATTTTATATGGACCCAAGATGGAGAGTTTGAGATGGACCTGAGATGAAGACCGAGACCGAGATCGAGTCCGAGTTCCAGACCAAGTTCGAGTTCAAGACCACAGTCCAAGTCCAAATACTACTGTTAGGTGAAATGCCAAAGCAATTGTCCCTTTGGGGGGGTGTGTACCAAAAGTATAGTAGGGGAGATTGTGGGGCTTGGACTCCAATAGAACCAATTTGGCCAAGAAAGGCTAGTGTGGCCTAAGAAAGTATACCCATGTGTTAGGTGATGATATAACCACTAGAAAGTCCAAGGCTAGAGTGAATACAAACAAACAAGTGGGGTAGTTTGGTGAAGTGTTCAAAAGTTGACTTTAGTTCCCTCGGGAGATCAAATGGTCGATGCTCCCAGTCCAAGCATAGGTGGCACTACCTACTTGAATACCTAATGTGGCTCATCAAAACCTCGCTTTAGCCCTATGGCTAGGGCACTCAAAAATAGATGGTCATAAGGCTTGGCTGTAGTGTTTCAAAATGTTGTTCCAGAGTCCCAGACTATGGAAAGGAAGAGGAGCAATCCTTTTGTGTGGTGACCAAGGATGTAGTCATACAACAAGGAAGTCCCAGAG